ATTTAATATTGTATTAAATATTTCATCACATTACGCAATATGGCAAATTGTGTTCTACCAGAAAACCAGACATCATGTTTAGGCAAAAGGCAGAACCTTTTTAATTTCTTTTTGCAAGGAAGATTTCTTAAAGAATTTTTCTACCTGAAATAATTCAGTGAATTTATTTTAAAATGCAACATACATTCTTGTGGGTGTAAGATTAAATAAATAAACAAATTTTAGCCTGGCACTGCGACGTTTGACCTGGTAAAAAATAATGTAAATTACAATCTGTTTAGTTTATTGAAGTTACTGAAGACTGCCCACCGAACTCACTCATATTTTTTGATGTTTAGTAGTAGCGGCATGCTCCTTTAAAGCGGGTAACGGGATACCAATTTGCAGTTACAGGCTTTATAAAAGGCTACGTCTGGATCATATTTAGTCTTGAAGGTCCACGGCGAAAGTAAAGGATCTTATGCCCACTCCGCTCTATACTATTTATCTATCATATTTTCGCTTTATCACCGCCACCAATAATTACTATAGCGCACGAAATATTATTACCAAGATATCGCTCACAATATATTATCACCGTGAAATCTAATACGATACCAAACTAAAGTACATTCTTCTATGAGTGATTGAAATATTAACCATAAACTCGTGTTTATGAATACTTGTTTTAAGATTATCAAATTTACAAACAATTTTTTTTTATTGAATGTGATACAAACCTAATACGAGAAGTACAGGGTAATCCCCCACATGCTGGCGAAGAATCTAGGAATACCATTTTCAGAATTTTGAGTTGTCATAATGAAATCTATTTTTAATATTCCAAGCCAGTCACATACTGCCGGGCTTTATAAAACGTCAAACGATCATGCCAAAGGCTAAGCTAAGAGGCCAATCTTGCCAAATTGGCAGGAACCTGCCACATATGATCACACTGCCTGCCTTACTTTGGTTAAAAACCTGCCAAACTCTGTAGCGAAAAATGCCTAAATACTGCCAACTTTATTCACCATGGTATTAAACTAAGAAAAGTAGAAATACACATTTAAATGTTATATTATTATTAAATTAAAATTAAAAATTGCAGTTACCATTATATTCTTCATTTTTTCATATTTATACATGTATTTATTCATTCACATAATATATCTTTCATTGGTTTGAATTCAAAGCAATAGTCATGCTCTCCAATGCCTTGTTAAATGAGCAAGATAGATGCTACAAGTTTGTTTATACACTTGTTTCTTATTTTTGTCTTAATTAAATTTATTTGAGAGAATATTCTTTCAATTGCGGCGTAGGACATTGGTAATCATAGTAGTCCCTTTGCGAAATTTGTAATACATATATATATTTTAAGTGTCTCTTCTATAAATGATTGAAACTCGTATTTATGAATACTCGTTTTAAGATTATCAACTTTACATACGAACTTTTAAAGTTAGTGAATGTGATACAAACAATACGAGAAGTACAGGCAAAACCCCCACATACTGGAGAAGTATCCTGCCATTTTAGGTATTTTGAGTTGCCATAATAAAATCTATTTTTAATTCCTCAATATTGCCAAATACTGCCAGGTTTTATAAAACGTCAACCGATCATGCCAAAGACTATAAGTGGCCAATCCTGCCAAAATGGCAGGAACCTGCCGCATGTGGTCACACTGTTAGTGACGGTAGTATTTCAAAGCTTAAAAAAACTTGAGATTTTTTTTTTCACCATCGAAACGCTTGTTACACCGATTCCACTAAAGCTTAGCATCATAGATTATAATAGCCATTGATTATATACTTGGTCATAGCGTCCATTAAAGACCGGGCGGGCAGCGAGTATGTGGCGAGCAATTTTGCGTACTGCGACCATTAATTTGATTTACCAGATAATTCAAAATTCATTAATTTCTGATTATTATCTTGGTATTGTCTGCGTTGATCGTGTACCACATCTACCGACCTAAACGTTCTGCGGCTCGGGTTGCAGAAGGGGAATGAATGAATCTAATAAACGTCAAGTGCGATTTTATTTAATTAATATAAATGATTAATAATCAAGTTTAAAAAAATACGTTACTCCCACGCTAGGGTTTTCTCCTGTATCGTGGAGGCAGTTTACATACGTAAATTGCACATGGATAAACATCCAGATCCGGAACAATTACTTGTAGGCCATACAAATACTTGTTCCGTGCGGGATTCGAATCCGGGGCCCTAAACGCTATAACTCATTGCTAAGTTACTGCGCCACGGAGCCGTCAGTGTCAGTTACATTATGACGGAAAACGTAGAAAGTTTCGTGAAAAAGTTTACCAGTTATAATTTATTTTGAAAACATGATTATTTTATTTACAAGTACAATGCGAATGTACCAGTTTTAAATTACATCTCTCCACGTTTTTTCAACCTAAATTGTCATATCGTGTTTCATTGAAAATAGATCCGCGTCGGAAACATATTCGCGCGATGTTTTTATGTGAACGTTTGCGCGGTTACCGTTAAAAAAACCCTTTGTCCGTACGTTATCTCCTCAATTCCTCTTGCTGCCTCAGCCAGCATCTGAATTCTCGGCGTCAAAATATCGAATGAGGTTCAGTTCCGTGATCATTAGGAAGGCTAAATTGGCCACTAAAAAGCTAGGCATGAGTATAGCGAGACAGTATTTCATGCCGGCACACCGCTTGCAACTTTACAAGGTGCAAGTTTGGCCATGAGGCCATATGGAATACTGTTCTCATTTCTGAACCAGAACAGTCCAATGCCAGCTCATTTCCGCATTTACCGCACTAACCGCATCCAGCCAACACTCACCGGCATCGTTGATGAATGGGTTTTTTTCTGATTGGTTCGATTCACTGACGCCGCGAAGACATGTTGCGTCCCTTATAATTTTCTGTCGCATTCATCGCGAAGAGAGCTCAGAAGAATAGTTCAAATTAATGCTCGCCGGGAAATCGCATCATCGCACATCGTGAAAAAACTCACAATTCCGTCCACACCATCTGGATGCTTGAGGGTCCACCGCTGTGTGATTTACTAGTAGATTTGTTCCTTGCACAATTTCTTACTGCATCAGCTACCCCAGTGATTTTTCCTGACCGATACAACTTAAGGATCTTCAAGAAACGAGCTTACTCATTTTTCAAAGACCGGTAAGCCGGAAGACATCTGCAATTTACCTAGTGTTGCAGTTGCTTATGGGCGGCGATCGACACTTACCATCACGTGAGCCGCACGTTCGCTTGTCCCTCTTCACATGTCACTAAAAACTGGAATAATCTTGTGATAGACTTCTCAGATGGGTAAAGGCTCTAATAAAGGCAACTGTGTACCACTGGTTTAACCTTGATTTTGCCAATGATTTTTGCCTTGGCATATGGTCTGACACAACTGGTTACCTCGCCTACGAGGATTCCAGATGTGGAGGATCATGCACCTTTCCTGTTGGACCTTCTGCTGACCTCTCACCCGGAGGGATATCAGATTTCCGTCGACGACCCTTTAGGCACCTCGGACTATTGTCTTGTCCGGACTGTGGTACCACTCACGCTGAAATCGCAGAAGTTGCATTCTGCAGGCTGCCGCCGTGTTTGGCACTATAGGTCAGCCGATTGGGATGGGATGCGGTCTTTCTTTGCATCCTATCCTTGGGGGCGGGTTTGCTTCTCGCCGGACGATCTCAATGTTGTTGCGGATTCTGTCGCTGATGTGGTACTTCAGGGTATGGAACTTTTTATTCCTTCCTCTGTGGTGCCCATTGGATGCAAATCTCAGCCATGGTTTGGTTGCTCCTCTAAAATAGCATCATACTATAAGCAGAAGTTCTACCAAGCCTGGGCTGACGCATCAGCGTCCTGGGATGTAAACACCAGCGCTCTAAAAAAGAAGTATAATTCCGCCTCTAGGTATATTGACTTACTGCATATTAACTTACGATATATAAAACTCCAATATTGATATATTTATAACTATCGACATATCAAAAATACGATATTTTAAAAAACATCACAGTCCTAGTTCGAATTGATCAGTTGGAATGATCAGTTTAACTGACCGTGTGTGTGGAAATTTCTTTGGACTGAAATCCGTTCGAACTGATATCAGTTCAACTGATGACTTTAACTGACTGTGTGTGGGGTCCATTAGACTATAGCAGCAGTGCCAACTGTGTACGTTCTATATAATAAACCAGAACCAAAAGACAAAACAAATAGAAATAAAATATTTCAAAGGCGTTCTTGGTTACATGTGTACAGCTATATTTCCATGAGACCCATAGACCTAGGGATAATTTTGCAGAAATATACCGTTTGAATTTAAGTATATTTTATAGATATTACGATAGTCCGAAATTCCGCATTATTTAACTCCTTAATTTTACTAAGTTAAACGTATTTATCGATAACGTTTTTTGTTTCGCTAATGACACATCCTTGGCACATCGAGGTGTCTATGAAATGGAAAAACATCAGTGATGTTTTTCCATTTTAGACATGTGTCATTCATTCATTTCTCGTGACCGAATCATTCTAGTACTTTTCGTCAAGTTGCGGATCGATCACTCAAATGGATCATTTTGGGCTCCAGTACCCTACACTAAAAACAATTCATTCAGATCATTCGGGATTCGTTCAGTTTTCAAGTCATTCACAATTCACACCAATCACGAGTTAAAAAGATACCGTCAATTGTTTGTGATTGGTTATACCGGATCATTCAAAAACAGATGAATGAACCATCAATACTTTTAAGTGTACCGCTCAAAAAAAACGAACCATTCATGATTGACACATGTCTAAACATTAGGGATGTCGGAAATGCAATAAAGTATCGATACATATCGATATCGATATTTTTATTTAAAAATATCGATATACGGTACGATATGAAAAAAAGGTCTAACCTACTTCAGTCATCTTAGGTACATTACTAGATAAATACTAATCAATTAATTAAAAACATTTTTAATAAATCAAAAACAACGATAAAAAATATAATTATTTATTAACTAAACCAATATCTGTCTGTTACAGATATTAGAAAAACTCTTTGATTTATGTGCTTGGCTGTAAGCAGACTTCTGTTATTGGGTACTGCGAGATTTACAGCAGATGCCACTCTCTCTGAGGAAACCGACGACGCAGGCGATATCAAATACTTTACAGCTATATCGGAAAGAACTGGGGTAAAATGGCGACAATCAAACCAAAATTTTGTTGGATTCTCCTTTCTGGGTATTATAGGCTGATCTAGGTATTGCTTTAGTTCGCTAGGCATTCCATCACTGGTTGAAAGTGAACTGGTGTTTGTTGAAGCTGCAGCAATATCTACCAAAATTTTTTCATGTCCGGACCACAACGACGGCGAAGAATTTTCTGAGTTTGGTATTGTGGTAGTAGATCTGCATCTGAGTTCAGGCGATAATTGTCCTCTACGTCTATGTTCTAAACGTATTTCTTTTGACAATGCGCTTATTGCAGTGGAAACAGCCAGAGCGGAATTAAAATGAATACGCTTAAAGCCAGGGTCTAAAATTGTTGCTTTAGCAAGATGTAAATGTCGCTCTAGTGGTTCTAGTTTGGCAATAACTAAGTTTAGAAAACTCTTCTGAAGAGCAACACCAAATTGGGTGGAAGGTTTCATTTGTTCAATTCCTTTCTGAAGTAAGTTTGCAATAGGAATCCCTAAACTAGAAGTCACGTACTGATCGCCGCTAATTTCTTCAGTAGCTTGCTTAAATGGGGTGAGCAACATTATAATGTCTCGTATGACACTTAACTCTGAAGAAGTTATCATATCAGTGATTCGCGGTTGCCAAAATCTTAGCCACAATAGCTGATGATGTATTAAATCTTTCCAACATGACAAGACAAGAATTCCACCTTGTGCTTACTGATTGTATAAGTCCACTTCTCCCTCTTTCTTTGTTCCCTCTTGCTCTGCTCGTAAATCGTCCATTGCGTTTACAGGTTGTTTAAAATATGTTACGATGGCTTTGACACGATTGGCAATTTGTAGAACTGGTCCATTATCTTTGTTGCCTTTTAATGCGCCATAAGGTCTTTTTCCATCTCCCAAATAGTTGCAGTAACCATGTTACACACGTCAGTGGTGATTGATAAAATGCAATCCTTTACTATTGTGATATGGTGATTGTGGTAATATTTTCAAAGCATTCTATTATATATTCAGCTGTGTGTGCCTGTAGGAAAGAAGACCAATATTAGTCCACTTCATTAAATTTATTATAACTTACTATTTATTTTATTTTTTATAATTTGATGCACTTATTTTATACTTTTCTTTCTGCTGTCCTGTAATGTCACCATCTCATGCTCAGGAGTGCGTTTCTGCAGTGTAAGGAAATGCGCTGTCACTACGATGAAACTTCGTGTCGAGTTGGTAAGAGTTAATATGTCACTTGTTATAGCAATATTATTTTTCTCACTTAATGTTTGTTTTAAAATGGCTTTGGTAGTGGCATATCTTTGTTCCATGAAGCCAGTTATCTGTAATAAGTAATGAATAAAAAAATAAAATTTGAAAATAAAAAAGATAAGATAATAATTTAATATTAGGTATACTTTGCTTACAGTAGTTCGAGATGGAACCTTATAGCGTGGACTAACGACACTCATAAATCTTTTCAATCCAGGTTTTTCTACACAAGATAGAGGCATGTTGTCTTTGCAGATCATGTAAATCAAAGCTTGATTTATTTGGCTAGTTTTTTGACCCCCTGCTAAATTGAAAAATATAATAAAATGAGAACCTACTCGTAGAACTAAAATATAAACAATGCAATAATCTGATATCAATAAAAAATACCTTCATAGCTTGAACTTCTTTCAAACATATCTATGAGTGTAGTTTGTTTCCACAAGTCTTTACTCTGACGACCACCATCTATGGAGGATTCAGTCTAAAAAATTTCATTGAACATTTTGCACATATTTCATTACTATTGTCGACATAAATACATAACGACATAAGTTTAAGTAAAAACACTAAAATATAAATTTATCGATATCGATACTTTTAGATCATATTTTAGTGTGACTACACTTATTTAGTTATAAAAGATTAACGAATGATATTTACATTATACAGGCTCTAAAGTTTAAAGCTACGTTTGGCCTTGCACAAATAAAATACTTACACCAGTGTCATTGTAAATTGCAGATTCAGACAATTCCATGATGTTATTTTATGTCTTAGCAGGTTCATTAGTAATAGATGAACTAGTAGACGGAACGGGCGAACTGGTTCTTGTTGTCATTCGTTTAGGTTCTGAAGAACTTGGTGTAATATCATCCACTTCACTTGACGACCATGCGTTTTTATTTTTTAAGTTGGAGAAACGCATGGTGATGCTTATTTTTTAGATGTGTAGCTCAATTCATCGTATTGCCACTGGTTTTATATTTTTTTCCACACAGATTACATGAAACGTTTTGTTTGTCTACTTTTTTAAAAAAAGTTCCATACAACATTAGACATGACTGGAATGCTCAAATTAATTATTGATTGAATTAGTAAGATTGTAGATTACAATCAACTCAAATGCAGAAAAACGCGCGCGTTGAGGTTCGTTACGGATAACGGACAGACAATGACAATAATTTTTTTTGTTTAATTTATCGTTCCTAACAAAGCAAGAAGGCAAAGGGATCTGAGCCCATACAGTCTAATCAGATACACAAACGAATGAAATTACTGAACTGAACTGACACATGTCACATGTGTCATTGACTTAAAGACAGAGTTGCCAACTTAAAAACCAACTTAAGTACCAAATTAAAAAGGCAGAAAATACAATTTCGATATTGGATATTTGATATCGATATATCGATATATCGTAACAAAATATATCGCCCAAAAATATCGATATATCAAATTGAAAATATCGATGTATCGATGTATCGATATTTATTCGACAAGCCTACTAAACATCATTCTTGTAAAAGAATAATGGGGAAATATTGTAATTATCTTATTTTGTATCATATCGAATGTGTATAAGGAGTTCAACTTCAACTAAAAGAATTTTCTTAATATTTGAGAATACCCTTTATGATATCAATTAAATCTATGCTGCAATTACTGTATTTTGTTTACAAAATTCTTTACAATATGCTGATGTGATGTATTGCAAATTGCAAAGATTTTGGAAGCATAACCCAATGGGCAATTAGTGACCAGTGTGACTATCTTTAAAATACAGATCCTGCCTTACTTTGGTGAAACACCTGCCAAATCCTGCCAAATTCTACAGTGAAAAATACCTAAATACTGCCAACTTTATTTAACATTATATTAAACATTTCACCACATTACGCAATATGGCAAATTGTGTTCTACCAGAAAACCAGACATCATGTTTAGCTCTGCCTTTTTAATTTCTTTTTGCAAGGAAGATTTTTTAAAGAATTGTTCTACTTGAAATAATTCAGTGAATTTATTTTAAAATGCAACATACATTCTTGTGGGTAAAGAAAAACTACGTGTTACAGCATTTGATTCTGTTATTATCAGAGATTACCAGTTTCCAGTTTCGCTTGATGATTTTAGTGTTAAAGAAATTTCTCTAATAAATTTTGTTTTATGCCATTCATTGTCATGGTCATCTACGCCTTAACGTTAAAACATACCAAACAGCCATTATTTCTATAAATAGTAATGTAAATGCTTTTAGTTTTATGCATATTCGCAGCCCTCTGTGTATTAGGTATCTATTATAAGAAATCTACAATCACATCTGAAAATATTTTCAATAGTATATAAAGTCTATTTAAAAATAATGGTTTTTAAGTGTTACTGGGGCTCGAATCTGGGTTAAGCATCAGATCTGCTCCATGGTATTATATTATTGAATTGCCATCGAAGTTACAAAAGTATGCCAAGTTTCAGTTCAATCGGATGTGAAGTACTTCAAAAAATTTAATTAACAAAAAGTTTGTAAAAATTAAAATAAGATGTTTGTCAAACTCGTAGTCCTCAATTATGATCCAAAAGCGTCCAAAGCAATAAGAGCAACCCTCCGGAAAGCGGGGGAGGGAGGCAGTGAATGCTCGTAGCATATCACGCAGCCGGCTGCGTGGTTATGTGGAGACTTTTACCCACTAAACACCGCCTTTAGAGATTGGCTTACCGATCTGATGAGAGATCTTTAAGCAAGCGGCGAAAAGCCGCTTAGAAGTGTGCCTGACTAAGGCAGATTAAGGGATGTGTTATGTAGGCTCGGCCTGAGCCGCCAGGAGGCAGTTCAGGTCAGCTGAAAGCTTGTTGGGGGGGTCCGAGAGAGAGTTTCTCGGTCTGCGCACACTATAGCGAATGTGAAGAGGGGCTGCTTAGGCAGCTGTCTCACGAATGAGGCGATTTGAGTGGGAGTCTGAGGCTTTGAAAAATCTCTCAGAGAGTGATTTGAGGAACTGCTGCTAATTGTTGGGAGCTCTAAGTCTCGGTGGAGGTCGGCGTTACGGACATAATAGGGCGAGTTCGTGGCTCTACGACAGAAAGATTTTGAACTATTTGAAGTTCATTTATAAGGTTGGGATTCATTTATAAGGTTGGAACTCAATTATGAGTGTTGTTTTCAAACCTAATAAACAAGTCAGAGGATGCAATTTCGGTATTAAATTCGCTTTTGTACCAATTATTTTAAGTGCAATAAAGAACCAAAACTGCTGAACCCAAATTTCACAGACTGGTGATGGGAGTGGAGAGAGTTCAGCTTTACATTTACCAATATGTAAAAGTAACCGTTTATGAGATGTAATAATATAGTGAATGTTTTCAAATGTCTACAATAAAACTGAAAAATCAAATGTATAGGATGGAATTGAAATATTACTAAGTACCCATTCCTTGAAATATTTAATACCCATTGCGGTTAATTTGCAATAGCGTATGAAAAAAGAAAGAAATAGTTTTGAAATTTATAATATCACGTACCTAACTAAATAAAACAATTCAAAATTTGTTTTAATATTTATTATTTTAATTTTTGACAGTAATATAATGACTGTAAACATAATTATACTTTCATGAAAAAATTAAAATTGTTATGAAGATTAACATGTATATTATTTCATTTATATAAAATAAGGACGAGTGGAAAAAGAGGAACGGTGATAAATATTAACTTTATTGTCTCTTTATGTTTCAAATACTTTGTTTTTTTCTTCAGACCTACAAAGAAAGAAAGAAGGAGCGCTGCATGCATTTAACAAGTGACTATGTTTAACTTATTATAAGAACACGCACTCACGTACACATATGCTAGACATGTGTAAATCACTCATTACTAGCGACCGAATCATTCTAGTACATTTCGTCACGCGTACTGGTACATTCGAATCGATCATTCAAATGGATCATTTCAGGCTCCAGTACTCTATGAGTCCGTGACATCCATTGAGAACCGAAAATTTTCTATTTGAAATTTGTAATAACGCCATCTACTACATGTTATAGGTAATAAAGTCATTTTATCTAACTAAAACTTATTAACTTTCAAGGTGGTAAGAACAATCGACGTTGCTAGAACATTATAAACACAAAAACCTAAAGTTATCAAGGGTATGTTCCGAAATACAACCCAGTACGCTGGCAAATGCAAATGACGTCATCAATTGACACTATATTGTACTGGCGTGCCGCCACAATAAAAGAATTTTTAATTGTGTGTGCGCTGAATGAAGCATGCCAGAATTTGTTTTTATTTATTCAAATACAAAAAATTATAGAATAGTTGCTGGTATCTCCATTAGAAAGATATAATGATTTTTTGAGCACAAAATGACAAAATAATCGCCAACACTTTTCCAATATGGCGTAAATGTATGACGTCATATACTGTACTATGTTTTGGAACGAATCACCAGTATAACGTCGATTCATGACGTCATTTGCATTGGACAGTACACTGGGTTGTATTTCGGAACATACCCCATGCATTTTAAATATTTAATAAATTTGTTTATTCTTAAATTTCATTCCTAACAATACACAATTTCATCTTACTTTGGGTTAATGGGGGGTTTGGTTGGGGATAATTTCCCAAAAAACCCGGGGGGGGTGTGTTTTTTTTGGGGGTTGCCCTTTGACGATCTAAAAATAGGGATTGTAACATTTATTTGCTACGAAATTAAACTTTTACCTAACTTATACTTATATAAGATGGTTGAAAATTATCTTTAAATAAATCATTTATCATGAAATCTTTTGAAGTGTTATTTTTAGTAAACTCTAAGGAATGATATTTTTAACTCATAGATTTAACAAATAAATATAATAAAATGTAAAATAGTTTTTAATTTAGGTATATTATAATAAAAAACCCTTAAATAATAAATACTCCTGTTACTCTGCAGTTTCCGTATATATTCTCCGCTAGGAGTAATGGTGTTCTGTGTATATATTACTCTACTCTATGCTCTGCAGTCTGCATTGTTAATTCAATTCGCCTGTTTATTCAGACCATTCGGGATTCGGTCGGTTTACGGCTCATTTACAATTCAAACAAATCGCGGGTTAAAAAGGTACCGTCAATTGTTTGTGACGGTACATTCAAAAACAAATGAATGAACCATCAATACTTCTAAGTGTACCAGCTCAAATTAACGAATCATGCATGATTGATACATGTCTATATGCATTTTAGATGCACAGTTGTGTTAACTTTTATGGTCTATTAAAGAAAGAAAGAAGAAAGGTTTGCGTGTGCGTGCATTTCAAGAAGTTAAGAATGGTTTCGTCATCACTTGAAATGGACGCAGCGCATGGTCTACATTTTAGTTGGTCTGAAGTTTTAATAAATATTATTTTTTTCATTGTAAACTAATTATTGAATTTCTTAACATATTTTCAATAATCATGTTAAAATAAATTAACAAGTAATCTGCTGATCGTGTGGTATTGGTGTAATAAAATAAAAAAAGCATTATAATATTATGTACTTTAAAAATTTTTTCAGAATTCATGAAATTATTACATTAAAAAATATTTTACTCTCGTGAAATATTGTCAAAATATTTCAACCTTTTTCTATTTATTAATAAAATTTAGCTTGTATATATTTTTATTATAACTGTTTTAAGACTTATACTCTCAGTTAAGAAAACTTCGTGAGGAAACCTACATGTCTGAGGAATAAAATATTTCAGAACATGTGAACTTCGTCAACACACACTGGAACAAAACGGCAGACTAATTGCACATTCTGTCGTTAGGTAACACGTGGAGGCCTGTGCCCAGCAGCGGGTATAAAGTCTGTAACTTATACTAAGTTAGATTTGCTTTGTAATCTGAGCCTATACTACCATTATTTTATCATATATGTACCTATATTTATAGGCTGGCAATTTTACATTAAATCACTATAAAATAAACCACTTTTATAATCAATCAAAACTGAAAAGTCTATTATGTACCATTTCATATCTAATATTAAAATTTTATATAATATAAACATAATCTACTTATAATTAACTACTTACTTATGGCAGTTTTTAAACATTATAAAGAAATAAATAATGATTTAATCTAAAAATAAATGTGTGCTGCGTTGAAAAGTAGAAGACATTATCTTGCTTAGCTTCTTTGGTTGAGTAAAGAACAAAAAATATTGCCAATAACAATGATTTTTGTTTTTTTAATAATGGTTATGTCTAGTAAACTTGATGTACTAAAATATGCGGGTTATTTATTGCTATTTCGAATCCTCAATTTTCAAATCGATAGGTGTAATATTTCTACATTATTTAAATGTCCACAAATAAATATCTATAACGAAGTTCTAATATGTCTTCGGCTATCAAAAGATAATCTATTAGAAACGTTGTTATATAGCGGTATACCATGATTTAACGATAACACTTTTGATACTATATTTAAATCTTCATTTGCTTTTCCATTAAGGCCTGTTTGCACCAGTAATTGTTTTAATTGGGTGTCTGCATTTAATTGGTTTTGTCGGTTATAATTATGAGGAAAGAAACGGTTCGTATAAATCGGATTGAAAGTGTTAAATCTATTATAATCTAGATTATTTAAACCAAAATTTCCAACTCCATTTTCTTGACGAAATACTCGGTTGCCTTGCGTCGGTCTGATTTGATCTTCAGATGTTCTTATTTGATTGAAATTTGAACCTTGATGAAATGGCAATTGGTTTGAATTTGGTAGCAGGAAATTACTGATGCCTTGTGGGAGATGATTCTCTTGCAGAGGAAATTGCTCAGGTCTTTGACTACGAAGATGGATAAGAAAATCTACTGCCTCTCTGTTAGGAAGCTGCTGTTGATTTGCTAAAACATTAACTTGCTCTAAATGTACACTCGGTTGAATTGAGACTTGGGAGTTTTGACTTTGAAGTCCTGTACTTGGGTTCGAAAACCGATTCAATTGTGTATTTTTTTGCGCTTGATAGTTGTTTAATATTTGGTTTGATTGAATTTTTTGTTGTTCAACAATAAGCTGCTGTCTTTTCAATTGCTCTTGATTGAATAAAATTTGTTGCTGTCTTTGAGCTTCTTTTTGTTGTAATAAGAACTGTTGTTTTCTTAGTAGGTCTTCTTGCTGTCTTTGTTGAAGTTGTAGGAATTGAAGTTGTTCCTCAAGAATTCTTTGCTTTTCTTCAAGTTGCCTTTGCAATAAGAATTGTTGGGAAACAAAATCATTTTGAGATATTTTATTTACGTTTGCGTTTTCTAAGGAAAACTTCTGTGTGAATATTTGTGGTGGTACAGCTCCTATAGGTACGTTAGTTGCTTGTTGCGATTTTAAAGTGTCCTGTATATTTGTTTGTTGATAAATCGGCACAACTTTCTTCGGAAGCCCACGACTGTCTTGATGAACTGTAAAAGCTGCAACTAAGGGAGCTTGAAATACTTGTACGTCTTTTTGGTCGACTTCTTCGATGTTTTTACCGTCCAGATCATGGGTCGGTTTGGGTGTCGTAGTAGTTGTTGTTGTAGTAGTTGTAGGTGTTGTCGTTGTTTTTATGGTCGGCTTAAAGGTATTTTCTTTGTTGTTATTATCAATTTTAGGGCTTTGTTTTGTTCGTAGATGGGAAAAATTAATACTTTCTCTGGTTTGAAAAATTTCTTTATCAAGAGTTTTTGTTGGAAGAGTTGCTAGTGATTGATTTTCAACATTTCCTACTGTAGTACCTAAGATAGATATGTTACTATCTCCTAGCATAGGTGTCGCATCTGTACTATTTGTGAATGCGGATTGGCCATCAACTATGTATGAGTGGATCTGTATGTCTGATTTAGATGTTTGCGTATTTGTTTGCACATCTTCATCTGTTTTTAAATATTCCGTCTCCGCAGTTGGATTAGTTGTCTCGATGTCCGTTATGTTGTCACTGTCTTCAAGATCAGTAAGGGCTTTCAATAAAGCTTTCCTTATATATGGATCCAATCTCGCAGTAGGCGTTGGGTTCAAGCTATTCAATTGATCATTATTACTGTAATTTTCAGTTTGTTCTTGTGCTATACTAAGCGAAAATACAGCAACTAGAACAATTATCGCCACCTGGAACAAAAACAAATATCAACGTTAATATAATGTACCTATTTATATATACTTTTGCAAAACAAAATATTATTTCAAGAAACTTTTATTTAACAATTCATTTAGTTGTCTTGCACGGTATCTAGGTCTATATGTATCAGTGCCTATACTAATGATCTTACTCTGTTTTAATTTCCGTTTGATATAATGCTAAGTTTTAAAAATTGGTAATTTTTGTTAGTGAATATTGCCTCACAGCGACTAGGCTACGTGGAATGTTAGTACCTAGTTGCTAGTTTGTAAATTAAAAGCAGTCTAAAAGCCGCACATTTTTGAACATGTGCGTTTTTCACAATTCTAAATATGTATTGCTATAACAGCTACGACAGATATAAACACTACTAATTGTGAGGCAATGACAATTTGCTTCTATTTTCCATGGTCAATTCCTACGATATCAGTAGTATAAGATGGTTTAATAAACTCTCACACATCTAATAGTAAGTAAGTATATTATATAATATAATAAAAAAGTATATTAAATGGAATAATGTCTTTTAAAATCCCCTAACAGCGTAAAGCTGATAATTAATCATATTGCCGTGACTAACGAGAAACGGCAGTATTAATCTCGATTTATGTGTTAAACGTTAAAATCCTCAGTAACGCGTTATGTGAATAATAAAATAATCATTGTGTCATCATTATTATTATCATTACAGCCTCTCAATAGCTGAACAGAAAAGTATGTGTATAATAGTTATAGGTAATATCTACGGAAGGCCACAAACAACAAAACTTCGACTATTAGAAATTTTGTTATTTTGTGGCCGCGTCAGTCAAAAACATTATACATCAGTGAGCTCTATAAGCTTTGATTATATACCTGTCTATAATCAACGTAATTCAATCCATAATTTTTAATAAACAAAAGTCACAACTCGTCTTGTTGCATAGAATCGTGAACAGGTTAGAATAATAATTAGTAATATTTAAATACGATGTCAATATAGAAAGCAATAAATACCAATTGTTGTAAAATTTGATAAACTAAAGCATATGAGAAAAAAATATCATAACAATGCAAACGTAACGATATATATGCAATAAAAATTTTGGGGAAAAACATGCAATTTTTAGTATGCAATTGTCGAACAATCAACCATTTATCATACGCCAAATAGGACGTAGCGCGTACTGCGTTAGATAACGAATCTCAAAGACACCAACGCGCGCTGTCATAGGTTCCAAAAAATCGATTTTGTCACAATTCTCCTCTGTCACAATTCTCCTCTATCACAACTCTCCTCTGTCACAACTCTCCTCGATCTCCATCATGTGTTATCATTAGATTTTTGTATTTATTATTTAGTAATCACGAATTACTCAAAAATCCAAATAATTCTGTTACTTTTATTTTAAGTTCCATTTTAATATGTTAATTAACCTTTTATTGAGTAAACTTTATTTCAGAATAAGTGCTTAAACCTTTTAAAATTTTTGACGTAATATTGACTGCTAAATGTTGCTAAAAGATATCTTTCAAAGCTATTTTTATTTATACTTTCACGTTCCGACGATCGCAATGGTTTAGTCGTCTCCAATTACGTAAAACAAAGTAATGTTCTTATGGCTTGATTACAGAACAAACTATGTTCAGTACGAATTTTCTAATCGAATTAGATTAAGTACTTAGTAACTAACTCACTTATGAATTTTACTTACATAATTTTAAAGCTATTTGCGACAAAATTTAATATTCTTTATAAAACCATAGATATCAAAATATACGAGTAGATAACATTATCTTCAAACCTTTGTAGTTTATAGATGCTATTTTAATAATGTTTTTGTATTCAGCTTTGAAATAATAAATAAATAAATACCTACTTAATCTCTACATTACATATTAAACTAATTATTTGTAGAAGATTGTGTCCAATTACTCAAACGCTATTCCACCACCAAGTTGGCCATTGTGCCACCAAATTAAGCAGTGAACTCAAAATGAAATACTTCTAATAATATTATGGCGAAACAGATCTTAAATCATCACTACCCTCGTGTGTAAGGTGTTACAATTGTAAAATGTATGCGTATATTCAACGCTGCCACTAAATGTAAGCTAAACTTTCACCGATGATTTGATAATGGTATGATAGTACGAGGGGACGTACGTAACTTAACCAAAATGTCAAATTCAATAATAGACGAGCCCACACACCACTGATGACAAGTTTCAACGAACGCACCTTAGAGTAAGTAATCTTAGAGGCGTGTGCACGTTCTACATACAACATAAAACGTGCACACGCCCTAATCACGTTACTTCAATTACATAGAAGATCAAAAGTACAACAGAATAATTGGTATAAGATAAATGTGTCATACTATTTATATTATATATAACGCGAGTCGCCCACTTAAAAATTAGGCAAAATCGGGGTGCGGATGAACAGCTAAATGGCGATGCGAGAGCATTTTGCGCCCGAGTTTCGACGCTGCCGCAACTTTGCCTCGAGCTGCCTCGACCGCAGCAAGCGCAGGTGCAATTGATCTTAACCTAATAATTTCTTGAGGTGACAGTTCCCTTAGAAGCAGTGCCATCTTTATTATCTCTGGGCGATCCTCTTAATTGTACACTTGCATTAAATATTCTAGATGTTGGCGTCATAGTTACTTTGTATCAATGATCTGTTGTAAAAAGAGAGATAAACAAGGAAAAGACTTAAGAGATGAGGAGGGTGAATGGAGAATTTATGCCAAAAAATTTTTGGGTTCTGTGTTTAGATCTGACCACATAGTTTCTACGAGCTTGTCATTTACATATATCGTTCATTGTGTTGAAATATTTTGGGTCCAGAGAACGACTTTGTGATGACAACTTTAAGTTTTTGGCTCAGCATTAATCACGAGGGTTGCGTTGACTTCATTAGACGTGACAGTTTTGAAATTGTTATTTGTCTGTTTACTTGAGGTAGATAAATCGGTTCATAGTCATGAACACAGAATACTACCACTTTCTACCGAGAGGGCACGAAGAAACGCCGACACAGCTAAACCGGCGTGACAAACGAGTTACTACGAATAATTTACAAATTATGACGGAATGGTTTACTATAATTTTAAAGTATTTTTTTCATTATGTAATACTACGTAACAAGCATTTAATTAAAATATAAGATACCAATAGTTACAAAATATATCATGTCCTAATGACGGTTGGAAATAAGAATAAGACTTAGAACTTTTGACGTTGCTTTAAGCGATTCTTAACATTTTAAATAACCTATACCAGAGTTACAATTATCATGGAATGACGCTAAGTATCTCATATGTGAGACGATGTATAAATAAAGAATCTTTATTAGTCCTTACGCAATATTAACATACAGACATTATAAGAAAATGTACATGCATTAGTATTTTTGAATATATTTTAAACACTTAAGTAAAGTTTTAAGTATATTTTTTAATTTTGTTCTAATCGGATGAGAACCAATTTAGATGATTATATAAATTCTTTAATAGCTCCGTGTGATTTATCGCCAGTGAGATTTGAATTTGTTTCTTACAAAACTAAAAGCCTCTTCAACTTTCTCCGTAGATGAGTGATAAGCAAATATAAAAGATAGAGACATTGAAAAGTTTATTAGACACAAGAAATGTTTGGAAAGCGGTGAATTCTTCGTAGAAGTAAATATGTACTTATTTATGGAATATTTCATAGTTATATATACTATTACACGGGGGCGAAAGGTTAGAAGGAACCTCATTGAGTAACGCCTACGGCTGCGTCTGGCGCACCATGGGATATGGGAAATCTCCTAGTTTCTTTTTCGAAGATTTGTCACAGTGTATTTTAGTTTTCACATTCAAAGAAGAAGATGATGATGACGATTTTGACTAGTGCGACTCGAACCCGACCGACAGAACCGGAAATTCAGTGGGCAGTCTGTTTGTCCGTACGTTGACGTTTACGTGATGTATTAAGATACATTTTAGCATACCTACATTTAGTGTTTCTCTTAAATCAGTTATCATACAAAAAAGAAATAACTATTTTATAGTTTTCTTTTATCCTTCGATGGTTTCGTAGAATTTAGGCTTTGACAGTATTCACAACCCGGCGTCAATGGTCTTCGGTAGAGGGAATTTAAAGTGTACGCATTCGACTTATTTATGTGTGCCAGATGATAGTGCAATATGCAAACATACGACTGATGCCTTGAGTTTTAGAGGGCCCTAATGTGTGACGACTGCCCATCCACTTACAATTCAAAAGAAATCACGAAAAGTTCTGTTTTCTTATAATTGTCATAGTTCGAAAATTTATAAGAAACAGCGGTAAATTGAACGAAATTTCTTAAATAAAAAGGCATTCCCAATTTAAATTCAGGAATAAAAAACATGCATTTCTCTTTGTGTTCGTCAATTGTCTCATGAAATCACTTTGACTGTATATTACGTAACTCGAACAACACCTGAACGTGTTGCATTCTATTAAATGACAAAGAAACTTTTACAACAATTGAAATTGACTAACATTTAAAAATACGCCCGAAAAAACTAAGCTCAAATTTCACTGTGGGAAGTGATAAAGTGATATTACGATGGTAAAAAATAAAAATATAAATTTCTTCGCAACCTTCCGCTAAACTAATACAATGATATGTCTTACCTGGATTGAAGAGCACCTCCCGCCCTCCCTCAATTGCATGCACTAACTCCGTCACCACTAGTCCCAGCACCACTACTCCCAACACCGTCAGCAAGTCTACATTACCTGACGATAGTGTTCGCCTCTACACGAGGCATCTTCAGGTAATGTAGACTCTACGGCGACTGACCGCTAAGTCAGCCGCCGTAGAGTACTTAGCGGTCAGCCGCCGTAAAGTCTACATTACCTGAAGATGCCTCGTGTAGAGGCGAAACACGTGTCGTATTATCGTCGATGGTGTGTCTTGCCTGGAATAGTGGTGTTGGGAGTAGTGGTGCTGGGACTAGTGGTGACGGAGTTA